AATGTTCTGGGGGCAATTAACATGCTTCATGAATCATAGAACTGCAAGTACAATCATTGCACTTTAAAAAAAAAAAAAGAATTATTTAACTTTGTTATTATTTTATTACTTCCAGAGAGAAACTGACAAGAGAGACAGAGAAAGTGAGAAAGCAAGCCTCCAGGTTCCGGACTAGAACCATGGTCAGCTATATGGGAGTCCAGCGTCCTTAACCATCACGCCACCCGCTGGCCCCCAATCATTACACTTTTAAGAACTGATTCTGGGGAGGGGCATCAGGAGGCATGGTGATTAGAGTGCACTGGACTCCCACATGGCTGACCATGGTTCAAGTCCTGGACCTGGCAGCTTGCTTCCTCACTTTCCCACTTTCTTTCCCTCTGGTAAAATTTAAAAATAAATAACGTAAAATTAAATAATTCTTTTTAAAAAAGAATTCATACTATGGAAACACATTTGTGAACAGAAAGGTAGCTATGAGATGCTCATCACAGGGTTGTTAAAATACAGAATAAAGCATAGAGTTAAGATGTGGTTTGCACAATCACTGAGTTGCTAGATATAAATTCTGGCTTTGCTACTTGTTAATGAGATACTAGACATATTAACTTTTTCATTTCCACATTTGTAAAGTAAGGGTGACATAAGAAAAACTATTTTATGAGGTTGCTACATATTTAGCAAAACACATCAGAGGCACTCAAGGCAGATAAAAAGTTCTTGCAATGTTAGATTATGTTCATTAGAGTGAAAAATTAGAAATAACCTACATATCAAACAAATTATTTTATCCAAGCAACATAATTCTACATCTCTTAGTTCATTCTGACAGCTAAGACCTTAGACTATGTAATTTATGGCACCTGCTACATGTCCTTACAGGGTAAAAGGACAAAGGTCCTCTTTTATAATAATCCCACTCACCAGGGCTCTACTCTAAAGCCCTAATTGCCTCCCCAAATTCCTACCTCTTAACACCACTGCACTGTAGATTGTTATAATATATGAATTTTAGGAAGACACACTCAGACTATAGTACTATTTATCAATAAAAATTACATGAATTTGACCTGGAAAGATGTTTATTAGAGGGGAGAAATAGGCTAGAAAATGATATTTGCAATGTGATTGAATCCAATGTGATTGATTCAGTATACTTAAGCTTATTTTTGATTCAGATCCATTTCTCTAAAAACTAGCTGTATTTCAAAAAAGAAAAAATTAAATAGTGATCATTTTAGTTCCTTTACTTCCCAGGAAGGGTGCCATTCAGAAGTTTTTCTGTGCTAATACACTTTAGGTACTTAGTGTATTGCAACCTAAATGATTTCTAAATAATAAAACAGGAGCACTTTTACTACTGGTAAAGTTCTCCATGCCATAACAGAAGTCCCAAGATCCCAGCTAGTCTTAAAGTTATGCCAGATCTCCATGCCATAACAGAAGTCCCAAGATCCCAGCTAGTCTTATAGTTATGCCAGAAGACTAATCACATACATAATGTACCAAGACAAGAAATACTACAGTTAACAGATTTTGAATGCCTGTAATTATTTTTAAAAACATAGATTGTAAGTCTATCTGCTTTTTAGGGGATATCCAACACAGATATAATTTATAAAAGGTAATGTAGAATTTCAAGAATGACATGTGTAAGTGTAAAATTACTCATTGTTAATACCACCCTGTCTTTATGCCCAAGATCCCAGGAGTAAAATGGAGAAGGAGGGATTGCACCATAGGCATCCCCTCTTAGGGAAGATTTCCTTTCTGTTCACATATGTGTTTCCATAGTATGAATTCCTTTTTAAAAGAATTATTTAATTTGTTATTACTTTGGCAAAAGTCACTTAAGGAGTATCAATTTAGTGACTTTAGTTTCAGTGGTTGAATAAGATTCCTAGGAATTCCAAAGAAATTATACCCAATCATCTCACAGCTCGGGAACCTCTTAATGCCTATAAAATAATTACTTCTTTCCCAATTCTTTGCTACTCCAACACTTTTCTTCCTTTGATCTTCATAAAAGATACTTGATCAACCCTAATTTCAAGCAAATAAGTATTATGCCTATATACTTACACTGACTATTACTAGCATGCACACACTTCCTTGTTTCCCTAACTTTAGTTTTAAAATTAGGACCTCTGACTTCTAACAGAAATAAAAGCCATATACTTGTATCACACCTCACTTTTTTCAGTACTTTCATATGTGTCTATTTTCATTCTAATTTTTTTGTTTTTGGAGAAGATTTTGCTATAGGGCACATGTGCTTGCCAGAAAGATAGGGAGACAGAAGGTGAGAAATCGCCTCCCAGGGGGGATGGCCACACTGCAATCATCGGGAGCTTGGGCACACACACACACACACACACACACACACACACACACACACACACACACGTGCCCGGTGTGAATTTAAGCCACTAGATCTGGAACTCGAATTGTGGTAGACTACATGGGAGTCCAGCAATATAGCCACTATGCCAACTGCTGGTTCCTCATTATAAATATTAACAATTTTATATGCAGGATATATATCAACAATTTTAATAGCTTTGACTCTGTTATAAAAGGTTTTACTTGAGGCTGGCAGGTGGCATGGTGGTTAAGGTGCTGGACTCCCACGTGGCCAACTACAGTTCGACCTTGTCTAGAGGTTTTTTCTCTCTCCTTCTCTTGTCAAATTTTAAAAAATAATAATGAATAAAATTAAATAAATATTTAAAAAGCAAGGTTTTACTTAAACTTTGGGCATTCATCTTTGGAACTAAAATGGGTAGTGATGTGGTTTATAAAAACTCTCAGTATTGGAGTCGGCAGATGGTGTGGTGGTTAAGGCTGCTGGACTCACACATGGCCAATCACAGTTCAAGTTCAGACCTGGTAGCTTGCGTTCTTACTTTCCCTCTCTCGCTCTGTTCCTCTCTGGTCAAATTAAAAATAAATAGTTAAATTCTTTAAAATAAAAAAAAAAAACTCTCAGTATAGTCAGAGAATGCTGAGCACACACACACATACAACACACACACACCAAAAAAAATGGGGGCCAGCAAGTGGCATAATGGTTAAGGCACTGGACACTCCCACATGGCTGACCATGGTTCAAGTCCCAGACCTGGTGGCTTGCTTTCTCACTTTCACTCTCTCTCTCTGTTCCTCTCTGGTCAAATTAAAAATAAATGAATAAATAAAATTTAAAAAAAATGACACAAAAACAAACAAACAAAACCAGTAGGGAGAAATGAATATTCATGACTGGGTGCCTGCCAAGCTAAAGGACGTCAATTATATCTAGCTGGGAAATGCTACAAGTTCCTAACAGTGCAGAGCTTGGCTAGCCTACAAGAGCTTTTTTTGACATCTGGTAAAGGTAGAACTGACCTCACCACTTCATGCCTGTAACAGGTAGACAAAAACCAAAGGAGATTAGCATCAATCTTATAAAAATCAGATAAAGTGATTCTAGGTTTTTGCCACAGGATGTGTGAAATTGCTAGAGACAGACAAAAACAGAGACAGTGACAGGGAAAGAGAGATATTCTCCCGCACGGGATGGGCATGCTACAACCCCTTCTCCTCCATTCTCCTCCTGGAATCTTGGGCATGTATGCACGGGTACCCAATGTGCAGGACTCAAACCACAGTCTGCCATGTAGGCGTCCATCATGTAACTGCTATGCCATCTACTATGTCTGCTAATCCAAACTTTTTTTTTGCTTTGCTTTTGTTCAAAGGAATTCTAACTGTAGCAGTTTTTAAAAATATTGTTTATTCCTTCTTTCTCCCATAGTGAAATTTGAGTTTGTTGCTTCTGGATTCAGGCAGATAGTAAGTTACTTGTACACATGTGATTGCTTTCTGGTTGTATTTATGATTTCTAGAGTAGAATTACAAATATTCCACTATTACTTCCAGTCCTCAGCCAGATGTGAATCTAAGTCAAAACAAAAAGAGGATTCTCAAGATTTTTTCTCATTACATTTTCCTTGACCAGTAGATGAAAGAAAAGAGGTACGACATTCTTCAAATCCAAGTCAGTGAGAATGGCAACACTCACTTTTGTAAATTAGAGGTCAGAACTCTCTGTCACATAGGGTAAGGTTCTGAGGCTTAGAATTTTTAGCTCTCAGAATCACAATCCCTAATGATTGGGGAATAAAAATGAGCCCTTGCTCTAGAAACCTCATGAACTCGTAAGATCCAAATAATTAAAGTTCTTTTTCTTTTTTCACTCCTGAAGAAATATATTCTTACAACCCATATTTTGTTTTGGGCTTGGAAGGCCCCTAAAGTCATTTTAAAAAGTGCTCTGCCCTTTTTTACATTAGTTTTATTAGCTAATCCAAAAGAGATTATTTGCCAAATTAAATGTTTTCATGTGTTCTTTTGTTGAGTAAGTGTAATCATCTACAAATAAGTTTCCTATTAAAAAGTACTTACAACACAGCTTAAAACAAAATGACTTTAAAATTACCAGTCGTTAGGTTTTAAAGACACCAAAGTCAACTGACCGCAGAAAACACACTAAAGGACAAATTGGTTGAAATGTTCACAAGAATGGAAAATGTTTAATAAACTTCGAACGGTGGGCTTATTGGACTATAGAGTTATTTACAGCCATAATTCATCAACCACAAACACAATCATGTGTTTGCAAGGCATGCTACAACAGAAGCTTTATTCAGTTCATTCAGAAAACATTGGCAAAATAAAGTTCAGTTGCAAATTCACAGATACAAGCTTCAAAGTATAAAGTTGTATATAACAAAAAATACAGGTGATATTTATAACAATAACTTACAGATACAAACTAATGATAAACTACAATTTCACAAAAGATTGTAAACATTTTGCACACTTGTCAGTCCTTCCTTTTAGGCAAAGTGCTCTTTTGATGACAAATAAATTAACAGATACACACTAGAGTGAACTATTTCCAGACAACACAAAAAAAAAGTTTTGATTTGTTTTTCTCTTGTAAACATAAGTTTTACAAAAAAAAAAAAAAAAAAATGAAGAATCAATAAAAGTGTCTTGCAGGCCAACTATAGATACATACCTGGGCAGCAAAATGATGTTGAAAATGCTTTGGATGTTAAATTAAAAATTAACATTAATATCTTTTCCTTGATATTTTATACATAATAAATGACAAGTTTATATCCTTAATCATTTCTATCCCTGAAAAAAGGAATTAAGTATGACTTATTGGCAGTTGTGTCATTGAATGGGGTAACAAGGGCTGGAGTCCAAGAGTTGTTGGTGAATGAGCTACAAAATAGAAAGAAATTTGTGAATCAGTTTAGTAAGGTGAGTAAAACCAATTTAAGAACAAACAGAACAATCCAAGGCAATGTGCTTTCATCACTCATTAGGCTGAGGGCACCAAGCTACACTCATTCCACTAATCTCAGAGGGAGCACTAACGCCCTCAGCAAAGAGAACACAGTATTAAGGAAGAATCTAGGAACAGTTTTACCACCTCATTTTGAGGTCACAGACTTTTGCCACTTTAATGTCCTCCACCCATACCCCACTCACTGCACCCCACCCTGTAGCTAGAAAGACACAGGAGCATTGTCTGCAGAGATACTTTCACATGAAGGTGTCTGCAGAGGGTGACCTCTCAAGGTCTCTTTATTAATGCTTAACGACCTCCTCCCTAAACATACATCAAAATACACTTGCCGTAGGGAGCCCTATAGTGAAAATATCAACAACAGTCCTCACTCTAATTTTTCACTTAAACAAAATTTAAAATGAAATTCCTACTTTCAGCAAGGACTTAAGTTTCTTCAAACCAAACCTCCCTCTGAAAATAAATCAGGAAAGCTGGGCACAAAATTTTAAAATGTGTTTGAAGATATCTGAAAGGTACCAAAGTATAAAAACTTTGAATGTAAAGTCCCATGGGGGTGGGGGTGGGGGATGAGGCTGTTTTTGTCTCCCACAGATAGTGACAATTTTAAAACAAAAAGGAATTTCTGACAGGTTGAGAAGTTTAGCAGTACATCTAGAAGTAAGATGTGGCCTGGGTGCTAAGGAACAAAAATTAAAGACCAGGGTCGCCAGAAGAGGAAGAGTCTTAGTTAGAAACAGCAACAAGAAAACAAACCAGGTTTTCATATGGGATCCCCAGGGGATAAATCCAAGGAATACAACAGTTCTCATAAGGCCCTATCCCTGACTGGATTAAGCCGATTTCCCCCTAGCCTAACTTCCTGCTGGAGGTAAAATTCATTCTCTCTGGTGGAAGATATCACACAGAGCCTCAAATTATTTTTAGTTTGTCATACTCAACATCTGAAATGCAATAAAATAGAACCATTCAGTGGCAGCTGCAGGGGCACAAGCAGTAAGATGCCACTGTGCCAGGCTAGGGCCACATGAGAGGCCTAGGTTAAGTTCCCAACCAGCCTAAACAGTCCAAGTGTGCCTCACGTGCCTGGGATCTTAGTTATATGGGATGCCAGAGCCAGAGGACTGTGGCATGGTGAGAGCCTTTCAGTAATACCTCTCTCTTGCTTTCCCCTTTCTCTCTCTTATTAATAATAAAATAATAACAACAAAGCAAATAAAAAGACATGACTTGACCAAAAAACAAAGAAGAGAAAACAAAATCTGTGACCCACAAAAGATCCAGAATGTGGGGTTACCAAACCTGAGGTTTAATGTAATTATCATCAATATAAAAATAATTCAAGAAATAAAGTGACAAAATAGATTTCAGCATAGAAATATGAATTCTAAAACTGGAAAACGTAGTAACTAAAATGAAGTCAGTGGATTAGTTTTACAGAATATTAGATACAGACAATTAGTGAACTAGAAGATAGGATGACAAAATGCAGACTGAAGCACGTAAGGTCAAAGGGCTGCAAAATATGTAATTTCTTTTCATAAGAGCAGAAAAAATATTTGAAGAGAAAACAGCTGAGAATTTTCCATAATGAAAGACATCAAAATACATATTCAAGAAGCACACTGGAACCAGCAGATGCCTAATGGTTACATCGCTGGACTACCACATAGTCGACTGTAGTTCAAGTCCCAGACCTGGTGACTTAAAGCTCATGCCAGGGACATGTGAATGGGTGCCCAAAATCCCAAGAGGAAAATGGAAGGGACTGCAGCATGGTACCACGCCCCTCAGGGGTGGGGGGTAATTTCTTGCTTTCTGTCTGTCTCTCTGGCGAGCACACAAGCTCGATAGCAAAGGATCTCTTTAAAAAAAAAAAAAAAAAAAACTATGCACAATGTACTAAAACTTTTAGAAACCAAACAAGGGGCCAGCAGGTGGCATGGTGCTTTAGGCACTGGACTCCCACATGACCGACCAAGGTTCAAGTCCTGGACCTGGCAGCTTGCTTTTTCACTCTCCCTCTCTCTGTCTCTCTCTGGCCAAATTAAAACTAATAATAATGATGATGAATAAAATGAAATAATTATTTTTTAAAAACCACAAAGAGAAAAGCTGAGGGGGAAAAAAAAGACATTCATTTTCAAAAGATCAAAAAGATCAACAACTGACTTCAACAATAAATGGTGCCAGGTCAAGGAACTATCCACACATGAAATAACAAAAATTATAATAGTCAGAACACAATATAATCTAGTTTCAAAGTGCTGAAAGTAACTGCCAACCTAGATTTCTATATATAGAGGAAATACCATTCACATCATCATGAAAAGAAATACTTAGGAATAAGCTTAACAAAAGGTATGCGAGATTACTAAAAAAAGAAAAAATTCTAAAATAAAAGAGATAATTTCAAGTTGACCCAAATAAATGGAAAAACATATTAAAGTTCATTGTATGGAAGATAATATTATTAAGATGAAAGTTTCCTAAAATTCATCTAATTACCATAATAAATTATAGGAAAAATCTTCATCGTTTTCTCTTTTTTGGATGAAAATTCACAAGCTAGTAAAATGTATGAAAATATAAAGGGTCAAGAATATGAAATATAGACATGAATAAGACAAAGTAGGAAGACTTATTTTATTAGATAACAAGAATTATAGACCGCACATAAATAAAATGGTTAGTCACTAATACAAAAATAAATATGTATACCAGTTAAACAAAATATAGGGTACAAAATTGACACAGATATGGACGCTTGATTCATTACTAGTGTGGCTTTACAAAAGAGTTGGAAAATTGGTATTTTTATCACATGACAAAAATGCTTAGCTTTCTAACTCACACCAAAATTCAGGACCAGCTGGATTGTAAATCTAAATAACAAAGGCAAAATTTGTAAAAGGTAACACAGGAGAAATATCTTTATTTTCTTTGAATAGGAACAATTTCTTGAACAGACTAAAAGACTACTGAAGGGAAATTGATTAAATGAACTACATTAAAATTAGAGCTTGTGTTCAACAAAATATTCCATTGGGAGTAGAAGATACTACTGAATAGAAGATATTTTCAACACATATAATTATTAAAGGTTTTATATGCAGATTATATTAGATCATAAGAAGAGTCATGACATGTCTCTCTATATTTTTCTATGCAAAAATGAGTCATAACTTTTCTGATGACCCTATAATAAGAATTAAAGACAAAAAAAAAGACAAGCCAACAGACTACCAAGCAAAAGACTTGTATAGACTTGACAAAAGAGGATGAACAAATTTTCAATGAAAGAAACACTCAATCTCATCAGTCATGAGGGAAAAGCAAAATAAAATAATTAGATAATACTACACAACCATCAAGCTGGCTAATATGAGGAACTGATATCATGCCAAGTATTGGTGACGATATTGAGCAACTTGAACTCTCATATGCTGCTAGTCAAAGTGTAAACTGGTTCAACCACTATGAAAAACCATTTGGCACAACTGACTACAGTTGAGTGTATGTGTACCCTATGTCCCTATGCTCTACTCCCAGGTACATACAAGTAAAAGTGCAAATGTATGTGCACCAAAAGGCAAGCACAATAAAGCCCATAGCAGCATATTTATAAAAGCTCAACCTAGAAAAAACCTCAAATGTCTATCAACCATAAAATGGATAAATCATGGTATATTTCTATAGTAGAATTTTATTTAATAATGAAAACAAATCACAGATTCTTCCAACAATACAGATGATTCTCACAAGCAATGTGATTGAAACAAGTGAGATACCTAATAATACATTTTGTAAGCTTCGATAAGTCTCAAAAAAGGCAAAACTAAAGCATAGTTTTAGAAGTCAGGGCCATGTTACTTTGTAAGAAAAAGAGAACAGAAGGAAACAGAGAAACTTCTAGGTGTTAATGATGTTCAACTTCATCTCAGCACTATTTATATAGATATGTTCACTTCATTCATACATCAAGCTGTATACTATTTGTGTATTTTTCTACGTGTATGATTTGATTCAATAAAAAAAAGTTTTTTCAACAAAATTTAGTAAGCCTCAGTCTAAAGACTGTGTGAATCTTTTCTCTGATTGTTGGAAAATAAATCACTTAAATATTTATCAGGTGAAACAAAACAAAATTCTAACTATAAATCAAGCACTGAATCATCATTATCAATTATTTATATTTTAGGTCTAGAGTGGGTGTTAAATTTGCCCCTTAATGGGGCCAGCAGATGGCACAGCAGTTATGTTGCTGGACTCCCACATGGTCAAACATAGTTCAAATCCTGGATAGTGGCTTGAAATTCATGCTGGGTGCGTGTGCATGCGTGACCAAGATCCCAGGAGGAGAAGAAACTGCAGCATGGCCAACCCCTCTGGGTGTGTGTGTGTGTGTGTGTGTGTGTGTGTGTGTGTGATTTCTCACCTTCCCTCTCACTGTCTGTCTGTCTGTTTTTCTCTCTCTCTCCAATGAGTGCACATGCCCTCAGGCAAAAACCTCTCAAAAAAAAAAAAAAATAGAAGAAAAAGAAAAAGAAAATGTGTCCCTTAAAATATAATCATGGAACTAAGAATGTCTGGATAGTTTGGCTCCCTATTGCTCCCTCCCCCTGCAATATCTTTCAATTACTGCTGAGGTAATAATCCGAGGTATGAATCATACTAATGTAATGTTAGGAGTTTCCAGTTACTGACTGTTTGGGAGACAGCTGTTAAATGTTGGGATACCTACCGTCCATATAACTATGTAGCGCAGTTAACATCGTCCCATCTTGGGGCACGTAGGCAGAATAAGCCATTTCTTCTAACATGGGTGGAGACAGCCTGGAAGGTGGCACTGCTGTGACTGGGGCCGAGGAGGAGTGATTAGGACTGACATGTTTCTTGTGGCGAGCTCTGCAATTCTGAAACCACACCTGTGTGAGGAGAAGAGGAAGGAATGGAGGTCAGCATCTGAGTACATTACCAGCTCAGTCTAAGTGCAAATGTAACCTCAGTGACCACATAAGGATGGTATAGATATAAACAAGCTTTTAAAAGGTTGTAGAGACAGAAGAGAAACATTTTAGCTTAAATAATAATGGCCTTTTTATTTTTTGCTTAGACAACAGTTCTCTGCTTTACTTACAAACTAATTCTATACTAAAGCAGCTTCTTCCCAAAAAATTAGAAGGGGACAGGGAGGCTTGAAAATTCCAGAGATGTTTCCTTTGTTTTACTATTGGCATTTGGGACAAAAAGAAAAATGGGAAAAGTTCTTCTAATCAGAATTAACACCACCAACAACTATATTCCTAGACACCCGCCAAGCTCATTTCAAATCCTTGTTCAAATGACTAAAACTCCCTACCGAGAACTAAACGCTTTCTATAACCCTCTTGATTCAGTTATCCCGGTCACATTTTAACCTGCTGATTTCAATTTCTCTGAGTAAATACGTAGTTATTCCCTAAGAACCATGTTAAGGTCAAGTCTATAATAAGAAAAAAACTGGTAATATTTAAGTAGAATCAAATATGGACACATCCACCGGTTAAAAAAAAAAAAAAAAGGCCACAAGATGAAAATTACTAACCACCCTGTTGTCCAGTCTATTGAAAAAAAAAAAAAAAGGTCACAAGATGTAAATTACTAACCACCCTGTTGTCCAGTCTATTGTAAAAACAAAGGAAGCAAATTCAGACCGATGGGGAGTTTAGATTCAGGTCAGAGTAAGACTAGATTGTCCAGAATGCTTCCAGGAACTAACTTGTGTGTGTCTGAACTGCTTGCCCTAAAAGTTAAAATTTAGAATGTCAGTCTATTAAAATATTGTATCACTTAGTTACCATAATGCCAAACAATTGTCATAAGAAGAAAGAGAAGTAAAGGATGAAAAACTATTAGGAAACTAGAATAAGAACATTTTGGATCAGGAATAAGGGTTGGGAAAAGTCAGGGGCATAAGTATCTGTTTAAGCCTTGGTGGTACAAGGGAATCAGGGCTAATTCATGTGGAACAGAAGGAAGCTGTGAAGAATTTATAAGAAAAAGTTGATCAGATTTCAAAGACACACCCTGTCCCTCATACTCAAAAATGGATGGCTGGCAAAATATAAACCTAAGGGATTAAAACTAAAGGAATAAAAATGAATAAGTAATAAGGTATCCAGTCCTGAGCACAGCGGCCACGAGGTAGCACCTAAGGAGGGTTTCTGGGACAAGACTTAGGTACACATCCAGGAACAGGAGGACGACTACACTGCGGCAGCAGTAACGTGCAGCTCTGCCATGCAGGATCCCTATGGGAGATCTGAAGTCTGGTTCCCAGGTCGACCTGTACATGCCAGACACACACTTGTGTCTACAATCCTGGCTGGCTAGGAAGGTGGGAAAGGATTACAAGTTGGGGAGATCCTCATGGGGATGCCCATCATTTTCTTTTTGTTACTCTTTTGAAATAAATTGATAAGCTTAAAAAATAGTAGTGGAAAGCCACAGCCCTTCTGCCACAAATTCTCTAGAATGTTAGGCTCTGAGATACCTATACAGAGACCACACTCTAAGTCTCCAGTCCTGGTTCTTCCTCCAGCCCACAGGCTCTTAGTCAACAGCTGCTACTAAGGTCACTAGCCTTACCTAACCAAGAAGACATACTCCAACATTCTCCAACTTGTAAGGGGAAACTGCCACCACCTGCTTTTCCTGTACGGTGCCCAGAAAACAAAACACACACACCAAAGGGCTACATACACCCCAATACACCTTGCACTGTGGTTCTGAGTTTTTGCAAACTATCTTTTTGTCTATTTTATTTGATGAAAAGACAAAATGACACACTGAAGGAAACCTACTCAGTTGTAAAAAGCTAAACATTTTTTAATCAAAATGAAAAATTTAAAACCCCATACTCTGAAAATAAATATAATGAAAGTATGACATTAACAGCAGAATAATTACCTTAACTCAAATTGAAATAGCTTCTTGGAAAGATCATCTACAGGTAATCAAGCGGAAAGAGGTTTGCAAACACAAGATGTCATAACTTGCACAGCAAAACATAGTTGAGGATTTAAGGCATCACAAAAAAACTTTTGGCATAAATGCTACCCTGCTTAGGAATACAAATATAAATTGTTTTGGATTTCCTCAAATATTTTCCCCTTCAGCTTTGTAAACTTGCAGCAAGGGTTAAAATTTTCTCTGAACAACATATGTTAAAGGTTTTGGGGCCAGCAGATGGTGTAGTGGTTACATCCTAGACTCCCACGTGATCGAGTGACCACAGTCTGAGTCACTGACCTGGTCAGAAACTTGGAACTCACACCAAGTCTGTGTGCGTGCATGCCCAAGATCCCAGGAGAAGAATAGGGGAAAAGGGATTGTGGCATGGCCATTCCCTCTGGGGCGATGGGGAGGGTGGTGATGGTTTCTCACTTTCTCTCCCACTGTCTCTCTCTCTTTCTCTCTGGCAAACACATGCATCCCTAAGGCAAAAACCTCTCAAAAAAAAAAAAGTAATAATAATAATGGAAGGTTTTGAGTTCAAGTAATACTACATAAAAATAGGACATGCAGATGTACTATGAAAGAAAAAATGCATAAACTTAACCCTTTAAAAAATCCAAATTATAAAAACAAATATAAGAATTCAGTGGATGAAAATGTGGAATTTTGATTAAAGAATTATTTAATTTTAATTTTTTAAAATCTGCCCAGAGAGAGACACAGAGAGAGAGGTAAAGTAAGAAAGCAAGCCATGAGATCTAGGACTCAAAAACTGTAGTTGGCCAGGTGGGAGTCTAGTGCCCCAACCACCATACCATCTGCTGGCCCTAAAAAAAGATGGAATTTTAAACTACTGGGAAAATAAAGCTTCCTAATTAAAAAAAAAAAAAAAAAAAAAAAAAAAAAGGACTAGCAGGTGGTGTGGTGGTGGTTAAGGAGCTGGACTCCCACTGACTGACCGTGGTTCGAGTCCCGGACCTGGTGGCTTACTTTCTCATTTTCCCTCTCTTTTTCTTTTTGTCTCTCTCTGGTCAAATTTTAAAATAATAATAAATAAAATTAAATAAATAATTATTTAAAAAAGAAAAAACATGATTATTCACTTCAGAGATAATAAAAGAGATAAATCTCTATCTTATATGAAACCAATTCAAATAAATAATTATTTAGGTGTAAATAATTTAAACCACAAATATTTAAGAAAACAAACACCAATATTGATATACTCTCTAAATAAAGAATCATAACAAAGGCTCAAAACTATCAAAAGACAGAGATTAGAACACATAAACACACAAAAGCTCCATGTGGGAAAAGTAAATAAAAAGGAAATTGAGGAATTATGAAAATTAATATGAATTAATAAAAGTGAATTAGATGGAGAGAAAGAAATAATCCAACAGAAAAGTGGGCTAAAAACAGGCAACTTTCAAAATTACAAAATAAGCAAATGTGACCAAGTTTGCTGATAGTAAAAAAAAAAAAAAAATAGAAATATAAATGGAATTTCATTTTCTGACTACCCAATTGGTACGACTATAGAATGACAATATTCAGGAGTTTTGTGATTTGGAAAACAGGATCTCTCTTATGTAGCTACTGGCAGAGTAAGTTGGGTATGAATTTCTGGAAGGCACTTTGTTGTTGTTGTTCTTTTAATTTGCCAGGGGGCATGTGTGCTTAATGGAGACAGACAGGCAGAGAGAAAGCAGCCCCCATGGGAGATGGTCATTTCTCCTCCCTTTCAGGATATTGGGTACACACATGCGCCAGTATTTTTTTTTTTCAAGCCATTAAGTCTGAGACTTGTACTGTGGGATCGGCTATTCGGAATTCAGCTGCCTTAACTATGAAGCCACTGGCTGGCCCAGAAGGCAACATCTGTACAAAGGCCCTGAAAGTATTTTATCTTTAGACTCACTAATCTCACTTCCAGAGATATATCCTAAGGAAACTACTGAACAAGCAGGCAAAGTAAATACACAATGTTGCACATGGCAGCATTTTTATGATAGCAAAAAATTGGAAATAAAACGTGCTATGCTCAACATATTGTCAACAAAAATGATGTAGATCTTAATATGAAAAGTATTCCCTAGCATACCCATCAGAAGAAACAGCAATGTTTTACTCTGTTTCTGTGATTTACACAATTATCTAAAAAGGTACGTGAACAATAATTACATCTGGATGAAGAGGTTAGAAAAGAAAAATAAAAGTGAAATAACCCATCTTAATTCTTTAACTTCCAGACAGTGACAATCTGCTCTATTACAGATGTCTCACTAAGCCCTTATAGCTAGCAAAGGTAAGATTGTCCATGTATCAGATCACAGAAGCCTAATCTTTGGATGACCTAGTTTGCATATGAGAACCAAGACCTCACAACTCCTCAACTTTTCTAAAGTATGGTGCTCAATGTTAGGAAGGAGGTTGGGGAAGGAAGCTATGATTACTATGTAAAAGTCACAGTAATTAATTCTTCAAAATGCTGTAAAGGGCTATACAGTTAAATTCTAGACATAAAGGTATAAATACCAGTATTCTACCTTTTTATATGCTAGCATTTCTTCCTTTGCCATTTTATCAAAACTATCTTCTCAGAGTAAAAATCAATGTCCAAAAAATATTTTCCAAGTTTTATGCTTAGGCTCAAGTTAACTTGCTTATAATACTGATGACCTAAAACCTGGAGGCTTTACTCCTTCAAATATTAAGAGAACTATAAGATCCTCTATCTTCCTTTGCTTCCAACTTTAAAATACATAGACTAAAATTAAGTCATGAATCCAACTTATCTGAGACATCATTGCCATGAATATACAATCATAAATCAGAGGGAACCTCTAACCTGTAGAGTTTGAACTACTACACAAGAGAAACTTCTAAGCACTGGAAATTCATTACCTTTGATGGTAGCCCATGCCATTTTTGTAGCCTTTTATACTGAGAAAGTTTTATGAGTGAACACGTATGTTTTTTTCCTGTATTCCCTTGCAGGACAGCCTTTCAAACAGACTTAAAGATAATTACTCTGGGGACTGGCAGGTGGTATGGTGGTTAAGGGCACTGGATTCCCACATGGCCAACCATAGTTCAAGTCCCAGACCTGGACTCCCACATGGCCAACCTGTGGTCAAGTCCCAAACCTGGTGGCTTACTTTCTCACTTTCCCTCTCTCTTTCTCTCTCTCTCTCTTGATCTGTCCCTCTCGGTCATAATAAAATAAGCAAATAAAATTAAATAAAATAATTCTGTAAAAAAATGATAATTGCTCTGAATATGCTAATTCTTTCCTTATCATCTCCTGACCTTCTTATTTATAGATAAATATCCCTATTGCTTTAATATTAGGACATAATTTCTAGATCTTCTGTGGTCTTAGTGCTCTTTCTTTATATGCAGCGCTTTTTTCAGATTGGTTCCTTGTTAGTCCCTTTTTATAATTTGGCACTTTACCATAAACACATACGACAGACACCTAAGATGTGCTCAGGTAGTGGGACTTCTCTCCTAAGGGAGCCTCATCACTCTGCCATCACCCAGAACCACTGGGCACCTACCTCTTCCTTAAACCTTTTTGAACTTTGAGTATTATTTTAAATTTTTTTCCATTTCCCTGGTCTCATTATAACACTGTGACACAACTGGCCACCTCTTTCATAAACCCACCTCATGTCAGACTTCTCTACCAGACTTCTTTCCTGACTCTGGCTGTAACTGCCCCATTCAAACAGTGCCTCTTACCGACCTCTCTCCAGCCTTCCGTGTTTACACCCTAAGATCTCCTTCCAAAGTCCTTTATTCCAATTTCATGGCATTAGATCTCTTTGGTAGGCCTGATCATCCTTCAGATATCTGTTTACATGACAAAGAGCCACCATCTCTACATGATTAGTACACAGCTAAATTTCCAAACATAAATTCCTCACTTCAACACATGTGTTCTAACTCATCCCTCCCTAGCTTTGTTCACAACACTCTTCCTTGTTGAAACCTTTTTTAAGAGAGGGATTTTTTGCTATAGGGCAAGTATACTCGCTGGAGACACAGAGAGAAAAAAGTTGAGAAGTCACCTCCCAAGGGCGGATGGCTACACTGCAATCCCTTATCCCACATTCTCCTCTAGGGATTTTGGGTACATACACACCTGGTTTGAGTTTCAAGCTGGCAGGTTCAGGACTTGAACCACAGTCAGCACTGTGGGAGACCAGCATCTTAACCACTATGCCACTGCTGGCCCCTCTCCTTGGAATTTTAGCAAAGGCCATCAACACCCCTATACACACATATACATTTTCTCATAGAATAAGTAGGGTTAAAGAAAATACTGACCTCTGAACCAGAGCTTGGGACCTCAATTCTTTTTTAGCATGGAGGACCTTAGAGTTACTGTAAGCATTAAATGAAGTAAAATATAGTCACTTGACATATAGCACCGTGGCCCAAGACGGCTAATTATCGAGTTTGTAAATCTTGATTAGAAAGTGAAGACACAATAAAAGGAAGCTTATGTTTTGAACATTTCTTCACCAAAAAAAAAAAAAAAATACTTCTAAAGATCTAAAATTAGGACTTTTAGTATTTCTTGATTGACCTTTAAAATAATCACCTGAATCACACGTCTGCTCAAGCCTGTTCTTTCTGCCAGTTTCTGGAGGGTCTGTGCATCTGGGTTGTTGTCCTGAGCAAATTGTGCTTGCATAACCTGTTTTTTAAAAAATGTAGGCAGTAAATAGCTAAAACTTAGCAGCTCAATCTGCATTTTGATGAGAGCAAAGATAAGACATACACAAGAAAATGGGATACTTGCATTTTATTACTGAAAATCAATATGAGGAAGTGTATGTAAGTGTAAATGAATGTATATTTTATAAATTTACACATATTTTATAAAGTTACTATGTTGAGATCTTTAAAAGTAATTCATTTCAACATAAAACTTTGCCTCTCAACTATGCTGTTACAAATAAAATCACCTTTTATTCTTATAACCCACATATGTAATACATAAATAGTATGAGTCTCATTTACTATTTCTTCTATTTTGTTAAAAATTTACAACATTAGAAAATGTAATAAGATACAAAAGTCATATCACGTTTATCTCCAGCCTCTACTGAGCTAAACAGCTCAAAGCCCCTAGAATAATTTTCATTGATCCGCAAATAGTACAACACCTAACAGATGGATTCCACTTAACTGTCATGGCTCTAGTATTGTTTTGAGCACCTGTATGCAAAAGAATTTCTGAGATCTTAAAAAGACACTCAACTGCCCACTGAATAAGAACTTACCAGAGTCTAAATATTTATAGATTTTTTTAAAAGCTCACAGGTAATTCTGATGTGACTCTTTGGATTGGAACCAGCATGCCAAGTGAAATGGGATAGGACACATGGCAAAAGATTTCCCTGTTCCTAATTTCCTGGGAGAAATACACAGACATGCCAACAACTACCTATCATAAAAGGTAAATAGAAAAGAAATAAAGGAGGCAGAGGGAATATTGAAATAAAAGCATAAGTGGAGGCTTTAGATTCTTTCAAAACAGAAAATTGAAATCATGTGAATCAAGTGAGATGCTCAAATCTGATTACTAAAAGCTAATCAACCGATGGAAGTATTATGAAATACAAAGGATGACAGAGGGGAGTCTCGAATCCAACATGATTGTATCTGTTTGCAGGCCTGGGGAGAGGGTCACCACCCTACCTGGTGTCTATACCCTTTCCAACAAGGCAAAATTACTTGCCTTCTCCACTATGGTCCTAATATAATACTATCTTCTGTCACTGTACTTATCACAAGGTAGCTAAAAACATTTGTAAGTCCACTCTCCATGGTGAAAAGTGAGTTCCTAGAGAAAAAGGGGAATAGCTCATTCTTCATATCCCCATGAGTGACATTCCTTTCCTGTCACGTGGTATGTACTATAAAGAGTTTGTGACAAGATGAAATTTGACAATGTGAGGAAAATCTGAAGATAGTGTAGAGAAAGGGCCAATGCAATGACAGGAATCCTCATGAGGTTTACAGATTGCATTTTCGGTCAAGTTCTCTCTGCTTAGCAACTCCTCTACAATTTAGTAAAACTGGACTAAAAGTTTATAATCTCACTCAGTTCACTTTATTCTTCCTTACCTACTCCGAATGTGTTACTTTGATACGTTACTGAGCAAACAGAGTTGTGTTTATATGAAGCTGAGCATGTAACATCACAAAGAGAAAAAAGAATGAGCAAATGAATTTTATCCTTGTGTTTTTAATTTTTTTCAAATAGAAAAAAAACTGAACACATATTTGGGTATTTGCTTATAAGGTCACTATTGATAATTTATGAAACAAAATAGCTTTTAATAAATGCTTTTTACACATACTTTTAACAAATGCATTTCAAATTCACAAGATTAATGGAAGCAAATTACATTTAGTAAAGCAATTTTTCATAAAGGAATAAAGCAAAACTAAAATCAACCATGATCATTTAGAAATGTAATAGTCTAAAAGAAATGTAAGTTGTATTCATTGATCTTTCTTTCAATATCAGTGTTTAGTCTCACAAAAAGGGGGCGGGGGCTTTTAATTTCTACTTAGTGGAACTAAGAAGAAAGCAGCTCCACTATTCTCCAGTCCCTAATGTTGCTAAAATCCACCCAAATTCTTTGCTAAGGTCCTCTGACATGGACCAGGAGTGAGCCTCTCTAGACAATCACTGTTTTAAGGTCAGGAGGTCTACCAGAAATGTCAGGAGGCTGCTAAGTAGCAGCTGGCCAACAAGCTCTCAAAATACATTAAAGTACAAGCTAACCCTGGCATGTTTAATATAATTATTGAGCAAGTGCTTCCAATTATCATAAACAAACCATGATACTGGCAGGAACTTGTGAAATAGCATTTCTGTAAGTGGACACTACTTGATCGTATTTGCCAATACAGTCTCTTAATCCTAAACTATTTTTTTTTCTTTCCATAAGTTTCTAGGAAGAATTTTGAGAAGTTATCTTACTTATTCCTTCCATTTTAATTCTCCTCTGTAGAAAGCCAGTTCTGTTTACATCACCTTGACTTACTCATTGGCCAAGAATAATATTTATTATTTTGCGAAATACAAACACTACTTGAATATATTCAGCAATGAGAGTATGTTACCTGACTTATTAGAGAGTCTGGTCAAAATAAGTGGTTCAAGGCTTTAAAGGTCTACAGTTACCCCAGATTGCTAAATTATAAAGAAACAACTAAGAATAAGGATTGTATCTCACGTATTTCAGCCATCCCTGGAATAAGGTAAATACTAATACTGAATACATGAGACCAGGCTTGGAAAGTATATCATGTATGCTTTCATTTTTAAAAAAAATCTATTATTCTGATATACATTTTCTAAAATTTATGATTCAGATCACATTTTCACACAATGACTTAAATATTTTATGCACATTTGCTATTTTAAACTATAAGGCTAGCTACAAGATTCAGAATCTCACTTATGTTTTAGCTGTGTTACTGCCATTAAGGGGTTTTGTTTAGGTATATGGTCTCCTGGGAAGCAAAGCAAATTAAAATGACCAGAGATTTAAGAACCAGGGTTCAAACCTCTTCTCTGCCATTCCCATGGTGGTCTACCTCAAGGGGAGTTCCTGCATCTCTTGGACACATCAAGTAATTGTTAAGATTTTAAAGAAATAATCCAGACAAAGTGCCAGGCATAGGACTTGGAACCCAAAGAGTTCCAGAAATACTATTTTCTTTTTATCTAATTAGTACCTATGATTATTTTCTCACAGGAATTTTTATAACTACCAGTGGTGGTTTTGAATTTTTACAACTTTAATAATACATTTTTTCATTGAAGTTTTCAACCTTGTTCTTATTAAACCTACATCCATGCCTTCATGGGAACAACTCATTTTAAAAACAGAATATATTTATGTTTGAAATTCTATTTTAACCCAGACGCCTTTTAGCAAGTGAATATTTTTCTAGGTCTCCCACAAGTACTCACAACCTCTAACATAGATTGTTGTGTGACACTTCATAGCAAATCAGTGAAACATCCAGATAAGCAAGGTTTGAACAGAGATATTTTTTCAGTCACCTTATATTTCATTGATTACTTATTGATATGCACTTTATGCCCAAATTTGGAAATCTAAAACAATCATCTATTTGGATTTTTTTCCCTCAAAACAATCCGGATTTTAAAGCTAGAATACTTTCCAGTGGCAAGTTCCTTGGAATTTTTGTGTCACATTAAGGTTTCTTTCCCAATCATTCTCAAAATAAGAGTTCTCTCTTGAGACATTTTCATTGTATCCATCTTAAATACTGGCAGGTCTCACAACACTACTGTGATTTTTCAAAAGGTATTTTCATTCATTTGTTACCACTTCTTAAGTGTCCTTTCCAGTCTGAGCTAAAATGGATACTAAGTGTAAAGCACCCAGCAGTATGAGGTAGGTGCTCAATAAATGTTACTTTACCTTAACATAAAACAAATACCTCAGCCACATTAATCTTTTAGAAAAGGTGATTTCATTATCTGAAAAAATGCCAGAAAGAATCATTATATGTGTAGACTTAAATATAGAGCAAGAAACAATTATTTATTTTCTCAATAATATGTATCAATTGAATCATGACAAGTTATTTCAGGTAACTAAGTTGAAAATAATCCCTCTCTTTTCAGGGGACATAACCAACCTTCAGTAGTAAACCATCAAATGACTCTACCTCTTTGAAAATAAGAAGGAGTCTCCTTGATAGGAATCCATCAGTAGATTCCTGTTCATGTCATGTTATTCTATCCTACTCAAAAAACATACAGTCTTGTCTATTAAAAGTCTCAGTGAAGTTTGTCAAGATGACCAACAAATTAATGTCCTATAGACCCACATATTGTATGTCTTTTTATGGTTAAGTCTCAAAATATTTTATCTTTTGAAATTATATCTACTAACATAAATGGGTTAGACTGATGTTATCAGGAAGTCAAGACAGATCAGCATTTTGTTTCTACTTTGATGCTACCGACAGACCCCAGGGAACCAAAGCTTGAATGACTAGATCATATCATATGATGATTCTAGCCGATACTAACAAACATTTTAGGGAAATAAGTTTGTTTTTCATACAATCACCAAACCAGTTTTCACAAAAGCAAAGGCTAACCTTTTAGAAAACACAAACTGACTTCAGGCAACATGGAAATTGTTTTCTTGTTTGGTTTTGGTTTTGATTTTGGTGGGAGGGGCTTCAAAATGTCATGTCTACCTGGAGCTGGTCTGCTGTAAAGCTGGTCCGAGCTCTTTTTGCTGGTTTTGGGTGATTAACATCTTGATCTGTGAGGAGGGCACCTTCCACGCTAATCCCATTACCTGCATTTTAAAAACACACCATATATGTTAGTACTCAAAAGGGCCCACCAGTCATACTGCAATAGGCTTCTTACATCGCTGGGCTTGTGAAACTACAAACATCTAGACTGAACAACCCCTTGAGTTAAATTTTAAAACACACTAGAAAAATACTGTAGAAACAATAATCCATTTGTGAGCTTGCACATTTATTCAAAAGCGCAAAAAGTTCTCTATGAACATTAAGGCCCATTCTTATGAAGTCAGATTCAGGAAAACAACAGTTTACAAAGAGAGCAGAACCCTGACTCAGGGCTGCTCCCTGAGAATATGGCACAGAGCTTAGATGTACATTGCAGCTTTTTCTGTAAATAAACAGATGGAGATAGTGAAGTACAATGTTTAATGAGTTTTACCACAATTATACCTTGCATAAAATAATGCATTAAGATGACCTTAGGAAAAATCATTTTTATCTCCGTATTCCTGTCCCAAAAGACTCAAATATTTTAAGTACATATTTACCATTTTCCACTTCTCTTTTTAAATTATCCAGCATGCAGTCATAATGCACTCTGCAGAGGACTTTCTCTTCCACCAAAGCAAACTCCTCTCCCGTGGAAAGTTGCCTTTTGCAGGAAAAGCAGGCGAAACACGCCAAGTGATAGACATTTCCCTTAGCCCTCCGGACCCAGTCAGTAGAATGGATGTGCCTCCCACATCGAGAGCAGCGAGTTCCATACCTTCTACAGTAAACAGAAACATGGAGGTGAAGATTTACAGCCTACTGAGATGGTCCTCAGTCTATACTTAAATTGACACATTATGTTACTCCACTGGCATAACCTAAGTATTTACACATTTTGAAAGCAAAACCAGAATCAATTTTCTTTCTAAAAGTCATTAATGCTAACCCACCAAAATTTGACATAGGATCATAATTCAACCTTGTCTATAAAAACAAAAACTTATTGTTGCTCTAAAAGATATAAATGAAATAAATGAAGTGTGAGTTTCAATATCCACCTTATTGAATCAAATATCAATGCATTTATAAATTTATCTAAGACTCAGAATACACACACACTCTAGATTAAAGTGCAAAAGTAGACCATCTGAAGATACATATACTAACTTGTTAAACACAGGTTAAGATGATTTGAAAATACTTTAAATGGTTTTTACATGTTAAAACACTTAAACATTTTAAATGGAAAATATCAAAGAATGCACAGAACAGGTATTCTTCCTTGATGGTGAGGAAGGAAAACTCAGAAACGTTTCCACTGGTGAAAATGCTATTGTGTATCTATCCACAGGAGGGAGGAAATATTATCTAAAACTTTCAGAGACCTATCTGAACATTAATGCAGCAGGTCAATCTTAACAGAATGTCAAAATTATATATGTCTTGTTTTTTCTTTTTCTTCAAGTCTGAGTGACTGGACACTCTTTGCATGTCTCTTATCAAGATATCAGCCATGGTCTGGCATGATCAGATCATACTAGATTACTTTACGTGTCTATTCATTGATACATGAGATATTGACAGTCTTTTTCTTCAAGTTAATTGAAAAACTGAATGCTAAAAATAAATTTTAGAATATAACAATGAAGTATTTAAAAATTCTAGAACTAGACTTCCAATAAGTCTTTAAAGTGACCATAAATATTAAGACTAGACTATAGTAAAACAAAGAGAAAGCAACTTGTCACTATGTTTAAAGAAATGGAGGGTAAATCTGATGAGAAATATATATTTTTGGTAATTATAAAATTCTGTGGCTTTATAAAATGACTGTGGGTTTCATGAAGTGTTTTAAATTACTCAGTAATTTTATTAAAACCAATCACTAAGCTCTCTGAAATAAAATTTTTAAATGCAATATAAACAATCCAGTTAGTATTAGAAACTTCATTATGTAGTATTAATTTGTCAAGTTCACAATGAACTTTTTTTTCATTTGGAAATTCAGTGAACAAACATGGTAATTTTTCAAAGCTGTGCTTAAAATTATTCCAATTTGTAGGCAGCTATAATGAATTGAATTGCAACACAGAAAAAACTTTAAACATTTATAAAGAAATCACAAAGAGAAATTATATTTAATATCTTATGCAAGTAAAATCTCACAAACTAAACATCAAAGAGCAGACAAAAGGAACATAATTTTTAAGCAAAATAATCATATTTGGTATATTTGTGATAGGGGAACAGTCAATTCTGAATTACACGGCTTATCAAGTTCTCAAACTCCCAATTTTTTATAGATACACAACTAGGGATCATCAAAAGGTAAATTGCTAAAAGATGAACAAAATTTTGAGATCTTTTCCCTGTAATGATTTAATGTTGGCTTACTACGTCCCCCAAAGCAGAGGCTTTGACAAAATAACTCATCTTATATTTAATTCTTTATACCTATGCATAGCAAAGAAGGTGCCCTGTTTCTAACACCTACAACTTTCATTCCCCAAAGTGGAAATATTTAAAATTAGTTTTTGCATATTGAATTTCTAAAGGAGGCAAATACAATTTGTTTTTAATACAAATTATACCACAAAAAAATGGGACATTATTATTTAGAAATCGTTACATAAGAAAAACTGGGTATGAACACATAAAATAGGACAAGGAAAAGCCTATCACTAAATGCCTTTTGCGTACTAATTTCTTGAAGTAGAAGCGGAGAGAAAGCTTCGCAGCATACCTGAAATAGTCAAGTTTGCAGAAAATGTCTTTGTCTTTAATGTAACAGCTGGTGTGCCTTCCTAAGGAGGTTCTGCAGACACTGCAGGAGAGACACCGAACATGCCAGCACAGGTCATTCACCTGTGAAGGGAAGAGGGGCAGGCTCAGAAGTCATTCTATCACCACATTTGAGAATAGCATCTATTGGTTTTATGTATTATGCAATTTAAAAAGCTGTCCTACTTAATATTTTAATACATGCTCTGAATATTTTCATGTAAAAGTTATCATTTATGTAACTATGCATCTGGATATATTCTTTTAGACCCCAGAATCACACTAGCGTATATCACTGTGTGTGTCTTTTTGTCTTTCAAGAGCTCAGGTCTTAGTTTTAGTTTTTGTTTGGTTTTCTTCCTTAAATTGAACCTCTATGAACACATGGAAGATTTGGGTTACTTTAAAATCCTACATGTAGGTATTTGTGTTTTGTTTCATTTACCAGATTCTTTCCACCATGAAACCTGGCACCTGAAGAAGTCAAGACACATACTTTCCCAATCTACTTTTTGACTGAACAACTATAAACTAACCGTATGCCTATTAAAGAGAGTAGCAAAGATATTTAAAAAGCAGCTTTGAAAGATACTTACCCTTATAAAGAAGTCAGGCAATCCATTTCTTTTAAAAATCGAAATTGCTAAGGGAGATTTAAATATAGATATAGTGGGAGCCCTGGTTCCTTTGTAAATTTAAACTTCAGCACAGAATAGAATTAAGGAGTGAAGTACTGGTAAACCTACATAAGGATTCGGGTATAGGAGAAAAAATAATTCTTATAATAAGTGGCTCTAAAAAGTCACAGTAGCATTGTTTCCCATTTGCACTTCAAGTGCTAAAGCAGAAGATGGTGTTTAATAAAGCACCTCACTTTATATTTTCTCGATAGGAACATTAAATATTGTCAATTCAGGGAACAATTCATAATAACTCTTTTAAAATTTGCTACCACACTATACGCACCACAACTTTAGTATTTAAGAAGAAATTCACGTATGGAAGTGGCCTACAGTGCAGGACCCTAAAGTTCATTCTTATTAAATGGACACAAGAACTAAGTTCATGCTTAAATTTCATGTGAAAGGACAATATGCAAAAACAGCCTACAGAGGACCAAAAATGACTAAAACAGGAAAGTTCAGGGAGGGCTGTGAGATATGGTTTTGCTACACTATTTCATAATAAACACTATCTGTCCAGTGATTCTGTCGGATTAGAACTTCTTTTCAACATGTTTTTCCGGGATATGAGAGTAAAAGGTAGTTTGAAGCTGAAAGAAGAAAAAAGTTTTACTGGCTTCTAATTACAGTTACTGTTGCCTCTTTCCAAATATTAATGAGAGCCTCATTTTTTAAAATAAAATTTTAATAGTTTTAAGTTTTACAAAAACTACAAGTCACTATAAAAAACATTGAAAAGATACCAAGAAATAATAGAAATCAGAGGAAGTCAGAATAAAAAAATAAATCAACAATGGTAAATACTGCTCTGGAAATAGACATAATTTCTCTATATTTTTCCCTAAAATTGGCCAAGCCAGTATAAAGTTTAGTAGAGATTTCCTTTAGGAATCTACTGTCTAGGGCCTTCTGTATTTCAGTCTTACCCAGGGCTTTATTTTTTTTTTTTAAGCAAGGCTCCTGGGCAGAGCTATAGCCTCCTCTCTGCTAAAGTCAAATCTAAAGCCTGGTTTGCCACCTTTCCTCAAAAAGTTTGTTTACCTACAGTAAAGTGTTTCTTAATCTTACATTTCTTTGCTAAGGAATGAACTAAGGTGAAGAGAGAAGATTTGGGGGATTATAAATCTTCCCTGACAGCTGTTATTGACCTAATCTATACATATGTAAACATATAGTCATATAAAAACTACCCTAACAACAGAGGACTGAAAATGGGATGATAGATGCACCTAACCTCTCATACTCTTCCATTCCAACTCACCAGACTGTTTTTCTATATTCGTTACACCTCAAACACTTTCTATGCTAAGTATAGCAATTTTTATCAGTGAGTCAAGTTGAAATCAAACTTAACTGGGAGAATAAGTACCCAAAGTACAAAAGAGAAAGAGAAGTAAAAAACTCAGAGTTTTCAAATAATCATCTAGAATTAAACTTTAGTTAGTGCTAATCTACTAAACTGTATGAGAAGTGTTAGAATAAGATTCTAAGTTGAAGACGTCATTGGACAGACTTGTGCAATCAAGCTTACTACATGGGGGTCCTCAAAAGTTTATAGAAAATGCATATTATGAAAAAAAGCTATGCATGGATATCAAATTTTTGGAAGAAAATAAACAACTACTTTAATTCTACATGCCCACGAACTTTTTGAAGTTCCCCCACATAACTAAGGTAATCTATTTTATATAGTATTATATAAAGATATATAATATACATATTTTTAAGATATACTAGATTAATCCTGGACACTATTTATTTCAGAAGGTGAGTTCAGTTTCATTTCATCCAAACCCTTTTTAATACCTTTTCTGCCATGAAGTGAAGTCTTCATAAATCCATTCAGAAACGTTCTTAAGGATGGTGCTAATTATTGAGAAGATTTATTTAAAATAAGCTGGTTTTGATCTACAAGATTCTTTTGAAATATCTGAAAGGCTCAGGTTTAGCAATATAAAAAATGAATTTTAAGAATGCAGACTTAGAAAGTCACATTAATTTGCCAGCTTTAAGAATCAATCACTATACATGAGTAACCTAGTCTTTTTTTCAGGTTTCATCAAAACTTTTTTGGTCCTTTATCTGCGCTTTATCTAGGTATCATTTGCATTTTACAGGTGAAGCCGCTTTCTCTGTTGAGGTAAAAACCAAGAAACCCACTAACTCTCATTTTGAACTTAGACTCCCCGTAATTAATCCTTTTGAAAACCTTAGCGGGTGGAGAGACATAGAAAGTGAACTAGTTTGTTACTAATTCAGTGGAGAAGCGGCCATTATTTTAAATAGTGGTTTTAAAAAGCTATTGAAGTTGAAAACCCATATATTAGGATTAAGACGCATGGGACCATGAGTCTGCCTGCAATGACATGGATAACTATGGCCTGCCAGAATCTCTAGTTCAAAATTCCCCTACAATATTTTAAGAGAAAAGTAAAACAAATTAAGACAGACAGTCAAGTCTCAAACCACCACTTGAAGCACTTCATCCCAGGCTTGCTGGGTGTGTCTAACTTTACATCAATTCCCTTCCTCCCCACCCCCAGCACTGGAAAGGACAGACTGGCACTGGGTGGCCTTGAAGTATTAAACTTTAATAAAAGCAGGAAGGTATTGAAATAGTTTTTATTTAAATACTCCCATGAACTTTTACTTTGGAAAAGTTTCAGGTAACTGTATATAAACTTGAGACTACGTATTTTAAAAATCTATCTAGAAAATATTCTTTAAGACATTTAATAGCGCTCTCATCAAAAGAGACACTGCAAAGGGGTTATCTATCCGACTGGTATTTCTAGGAAGACAGAAGAATGGATGGAGGGACCATGCACAGTTTTTTCGGAAAGTAACCCAGGACTTAGTAAAATTACCAAAACTACCAGACCGGTTTCTGTTTCAGGATGGTTAAGAATCTTTCCACTTCTCTTTCTCTGTATGTCGGTGCTACTCCAGAACATCCGCCGAGGAATCTGCACTTCTCGACCACGATGTGTCACACATAAGCTGTTTTGCAACAATGTGGTAAAGTCTAAGCTTTCTTCCCACACACTGCAAAGAGCAGCGGTAGGCTGGGTTCCCTTGCTGGGAAAGCCTACAACCTGAAGAGTTTCTAGGTGGAAAAGTGGGTGGTGGAAAGGAGTGACTTTCTTCCAGAGCTTCCCCGCTAACCCGCGGCCCGTCTTACCTTGAGAAGGTATTTGTCCACGATCTCCAGGCCACAGCTGTTGCACACACACTTGCCAGGAGGGCAGCCGGAGCCCGAGGCCATGGACCGGGGCGAGGACGACGGGGACAGCGGGGCCGAGGAGGAGCTCGAGTCCTCGTCCCCCGCTCCCTCGGGGCTCACCTGCAGGAAGTCGTGAAGCGCAGGCGGTTCCAGAACCCTCCTTCCTTAGCATCCCACCTACCCACAGTGGTGCCCCCACCGCCTCCTCTCCTTCCCCCAGGCGACCCCCCCCCTTCTTTGAGCGGTCTCGA